TAAATGAGAGTGCCAGGTGGTGCAGGGGCTGGGGAGCTGCGAGACAACCATGATGGAGCCAAGAAGCCAAAGTCAGCTTTGGCACTGGACAAAGAGGAAAGCATTTCTTTTTAAAAAGATTTATTTATGTATATGATTGACATATTTGCATGGATGCCTGCGAGATCCTCCGGAAGAGCAGCCAGTGCTCTTAACCACTGAGCCATCTCTCCAGCCCCACAGGGGAGCAATTAAAAAACAAACGTCACTTTGTGGTTCTAGATCGCTCTGACACCCCCAGTCTGAGGTCAGAGTCTCCTGAGGCCTCAGAGAACCCAAGCAGCCCAGCGTCTTCCTTATCCAGCCTCACTGGCTCCGTGGAACCTGGGGGGTTGAGCCAAGCCCCGCCTAGCCCTGAAGAAGGCCTCCAGGAGACACCAGGCACCTCCAGGCCTGGGCCAGCATCTGGGACCACCCCTCCTGAGCTGTACCTTCCCGTCAAGTTCAGGTTGGTATGGGCCTAACTGTGCCTCTCAGTATGCTTCCTGACCTCTCTGAGCATGTGTTGTCTTCTCCGCCTTTGCACAGTACCTGTCTGCAGTCTGGGTCACAGTCTCACTCTAGGACCCAAGGTGTAGGCTGCACCTGGGTGGAACCTTACCTCCTCCTCTTCCTCCCACCTGCTTTTTGGTTTTGGTTTGTTTTGGTTTTCTTTTTTTCTGAGACAGGGTTTCTCTATGTAACAGCCTTGGCTGTTCTGGAACTCGCTCTTTAGACCAGGCTGGACTTGAACTCAGAGCTCCACCCGTCTCTGCCTCCTGAGTGCTGGGATCTACCACCTGCTTTTTTTTTTTCCCCCACCTGCTTTTAAGTTTAGCCAGGAGAGCCAAGGATGAGCCCGGGGCTTGGGCTGCTGAAGTTGGTAGGAGGAGGAAAAGCTTAGCCCCACCTGCAGAGACCCCTTCTTAAGCCCTCAGGAAATCTTCACCTGTCAATCCAACTGCCTCTCTTCTCTGCAAACCCTTTTTGTCTGGACTTGAGTCTGGGAAGAAGTAGACTTGGGGGCATCCTCAGAGCTCTCTGCGGATAGATCAGTTCCAGACCTCCAGGGCCTGTGATGATCCAGCCTCGGGGCCTGGTGGACTCTGGGTCCCCTTTCCCACCACCTCAGCCTTTTATGTCTACCCGGGTCCCTCTGAGGGGCTCTGGGCAGCTGGGTGACATTGGCCATCCCTGCCTTCCAGCTCCGAGAGCACTCGATCCTACAGACGGGGAGGTCGGATTCTGGAAGACGGTCCCTCTGCCCAGCATCCTCTGTCTAGAAGGAACATTCCGGTAGGAGCGCTGGGTGTGTGGTTTGAAGCGTAGGTTTCCCATGTTGTAGAACTGGCCAAGAGCAGGCACAGAGGGGAGGGAGCCCTCCCTCGATGGTGGCAACACTATGGACCGAGATGGCCACTGTTAAGCTGCTGCCACCTCCCTGCTTTAGCCCAGGACTGCGTGAACCTGGGTGAAGCCCACCTAGAGCTATTTCCCAGAGGAGCCGCAAAAGGCGCTTTAACAGTGTCCGCTTCATCCTTCTTTCCCCAGGTCGTCCTCGGGGAAGGAGATGGCTCAAAGGCAGGGGCTCTCGCGGCAAGTTCTCTGCAGCTTTTGCACGACTAGCTCCTTGCTGACCCCTCTGCATGGCCCACACTGGACCCCGACATTCAAAGCGGGGACTTGAGCCCACAGAACCGGACCGTGCCCCTGCCAAGGTCACTGGCCCTTCTGTGTTGGGGCTGGTGTCCTGGACCAGGCAGTCCTGAAGTTAGATCTGAGGATGAGGATGCCTGGGCTGGGTTCAGTTATACAGCCACTCAGTCCTTACCGGACCAGGACCGTTTCTCCCTACAAGGATGGGACCCACTTACTATCTTTCACATCCGGGCACTGTCTTGTGGTCTAGTATTTTCCGTAATGATTCCAGTTCTATGTCCAGACCTTTGCTAGGTACTATGCTAGGTACTATGGATGCCACATGAATAAGACAAGCATCCCACAGGTATGATCCCTTGCCGGAGAGCTGGTCTCAAGAACTGACTTGGAATGAGCAGATCCTAAAGAAGGAAGATTGCTTCTGAGCCCCGGGGTCAGCTTTTGTTCATCTCAGAGCTGTCCTTTTATTCATCTCTAATAAAGGATTCTCGGGGTAGGGGCGGATCCTGCTGGTTCATTTATGGGTTCTAAAGAGTAATAGGGAAATGAAGGACTCTTGGGACTTGGGGTTCTTTCCCTGGCCCTGGTGAGGGACAGGGCTGGTAAAGAGGAGTGGTCACAGTGTACGCAGGGAGTTTTGCCCCAGGAGACATTTGGTGTGGCAAACATTTCCACCTGGAGGGTGCATCCCCGAGGTCAGGGATAACATCCTCCAGCACTCTCTCTCTTGTCTGTTTGTGCTGCTGTTTAAGGCTGGGCACTTTCTACAGCAAAAGGTTTTATTTGGCAATTGGAATGTCCAAACAGCTTGTCATGAACAGCCCGTAAAAGGCCCCCTGACTGTCACAACATCGCAGAGAGGTAGAAAGCAATCACTATGTGTAGTGGTCTCAATTAGCTTTATAGCAACTCACTTTTGTCAAAACTACTGAGAGACAGGCCTCAACCTCTCCCCCACTAGTTACCTCCCATTTGGCTCCACCCCTTCAAGGCTCAGTCTTCATTCAACATTGCCACATCAGGCAAGAATCAAGCCTCTGGCCTGTAAGAAAACACACTCAAACCATAGCCTCATGGTAAGGGTCATCCCTCTGGCAATGAATTAGCCAATCCAAAATGTCAGCACTAAGCCTGCGAACCCCTGGTGTGCAGGAAAGCTCACTGGGCTGGAGTGTGAGGATCTCATGTTTGGACGCTTCCGGTGGTTCCTTGATTGCCTCCAGATGATGAGTTGGCCGAGTTAGTGTGTGAGGTGACCCCCAGGAGCGTTACCAGGGTAGAGAAGCGAAACGGAAGGTCACCCAAAGGAAGACCAGGAGAAAGCTGTGGAGAATCTGCTTGCCACACAAGCACGAGGACGTGAGTTCAGATCCCCAGAACTCATGCAAAAAGTCAGGCGTGTAGTGCACTCCCGTACTCCTGGCTCCGTGGAGGCAGATTCTAGGGGATCCCTGCGGCTTACTGACCAGCCCCAAGTTCAGTGAGAGACGCTGCCTCAAAAGATAAAGTGGCTAGCATTTGAGAAAAGCACCCATTAATGTCTGATCACCACATGCACCCATACACACGCACACACAAGCATAAAGGATGCTGGCACAGTGGCACACATCTGTAATCCCAGCATCTGGAGGCCGAGGCAAGATCATAGTGAGTTAGGAAATACCTTCAATCTGTCCCTTTGAGAGTGAAGAATGGGGTACTTACCACCAATGCTGGGCCGCTCTTGGGGTATTAATTCCCTGCCTGCCCCCAAACCTCAAAGGGAGATATGCCAAGTAGCAGCTGTGTGTCATGATTGCGTGCAGGTTTGCTCCCAGGTGGTCAGAGGGGGTATAATGGGTACCAGCAGTGCCGGCTACACCCTGGGAAAATATCAATGATCCCACCTCCTGAGATTCCATTTGCATAGTAAGGTTGGACGTGTTTTCTTAGGGTCTTTCATACTCGTGTTGGCCAAGAAGCCTCCCAGGAGCTCCAATCAAGAAAAACCTGGCTTTGGCAACTAGAAGCTATCCACCCCCTCCTTTTCCCCACCTTCCTTCTCCATATCCCCATGCTGCAGCCACAGACTTCTCAGTTCCTCCACCGCTGACATGCCAGGGACCCTCCCATCCCTAAGCTTGGCAGAGGGCTGGCTGTCTTGCTCCCATCTGGATTCCAGAACCACCTGGAACACACTAGGTGCTCAGTAAATGGAATAAACACGTGCCGCCTCCTCAGTGGCACAGATCCCCTCTTTCTCCCACCAAACTCCCACCCTGCCCCTAACTGCAGTGGATTTCACTTCTTGAGAGGGGATGGCACCCAGCTGGGCCTTTCAAGCGCCCTCTTCCGGCTCCTGCCCCACCGCAGCTGGGGCGAATGCAGTCCTCCTTTTCAATCCTTATTTTGCTCAGCCTGCTGCAGTGAGGTCTTTCTTGCTAGTTGATTGGACAAGTTTGTTGGGGGGGGGGGAGACAAACAAGCAAAAAAAAAAAAAATCCTTGATCGTCATCACACAACAGCATTTGGGAGACAGGTGTCCACAACAGGCTACCTCTGATCCAGACCTGGTTCTCTGAGGTTATCTCAGAAAGTTGGGGGATTTCACAGTTTCCCCGACCCTCACACACTATGGGCCCTCTTCTGCTCTCCATCCAGATCAGAGACCCTGGCAAAAAAAAAAAAAAAAAAAAAAAAAAAAAAAAAAAAAAAAAAAAAAAAAGTCATTTTCTAGGTCTGCAGAGGACTCTCGAAAGACTTTTCCACCCGAGAGCAGATGTCTGCACAGCCGAGTGGGAGACACACTTACTCCGTTCACCCAAAATTTCTCTTCCAAGCCCACCTCTTGCACACTGCCGTAAGAATCACCCAAAGCTTAGCTTCTCTGAACATGGCTGCGTTCCAGTACTTCAGAGTTTGTTAGAAATACATTAAACGGCTCCAAGCATACCTCCCGAGAAAAAGCTGGAGACGGAAGCCTTGGGTACATGAAGGAGCCTAAGTTAGGGCAGGGCTGACTTCAGGATCTGCACCAAGTTGCGATGAATGTACCAACTTCTCTCGGTTTGGGCATAGCCACGGAACTAAGTTCTTCTGGGAGATGCTAAGACCCGGGAGCTCAGAACTTCCCTCAGCTGCACTCACACCCCAGTCGAAGCCTCATGCCCAAATGTTCTTGCAGCCCGGGGCACCCCTACGAGGGTCGGAAGGGAAGAGCCCCTTCTCCCAGCCTGGTTCTTCCCCCAAAGGTGAGACCCGCCTGGCTCAGGCAATCTTTGCCCGGGCAGTCCTTGAAGTCTATATTTAGTGCCCGCCACCCCTCCCCCAGCGCTGGGAGGGGCATGCCCCGCCCCCGCCGGGCTTGAGTGGACTGTTGCGGCCTGTGCCGCTTGCGCTCCGCGCTTTGGCGCCCGCTGCTGCTCTGCGCCCCTAACCCCGCGCGGCGTCGTGGACCAACATGGGCCTGGAAGAGGAGCTGCTGAGGATCGCCAAAAAGCTGGAAAAGATGGTGGCCCGGAAGAAGACGGTGAGGCTGCAAAGTTTGCAACGCAACTCCTGGGCCACGGAGGAGCGACCCGGCCAGCCACGGGTTTGGTGGGCGTGCCGGCCGTGTGCCCGAAGGGAGCGCTCGGGACTCCGGACTGGAGGCGGGTGGCAGGCTGCCAGGCAGGGGAGTCCCGCGCTACTTGTTGGGCACTTAGGGTGTGTGTGTGCGTAGGTGGCCAGGTCTGGAGAGGATCGTGTAGCCCCCTCCCTTCCCCCGAGGCGCGACTGGTGCAAGTCAGTGTGGACAAATCGGGTGCATTCGTGGGCTACCTGCGCTGTACAGTGAGAGCGTGAGGAGAGACACGAACCCGAGGCGAGGATTTTGAGAGTGCAAGGCTGGGGAGCTGCAGGCACGGCGGGAGTTGGAGAAACAAATTCTGGGTGACTTGAAAAAGATCAGAGAAACTCGGGCTGAGAAGGGGCCGCCGAGCTGCATTTGCACCCCGCCGCCCGGGAGTGGGCCTGCAAGACCAGAGCGAAGGTCCTTAGCTGGGGTGCCGGGAGTCTGTTTGCAACTTTTTCCTTGGCCACGGGATGGGGCCCTGGCGGGCGGAGGTGAACAGGTGCGGGGCGGGGGGCGGGGGAGGAGAGGAGGAGGCCTGGGCTGCCCCAGCGGGGGAGGAGCGCGAAAGGGTTCTGTGCCGGGAGGAGGGTCCGCAGCCCTGCGCGAGGGTCCCTGATCTCTCAGTCCCAGCCGCGCTCCGCGAGAGCCAAATGGAAAGTTAATGTTTGATCTATCTATCTAGCGATCTTTGCCTCAGGCTGGTAGCTGGCGCCTGTGCCAATTCTGGAGGGCGTGAACAAGGAGGGAGGGAGGACAATGCCTGAGGGAGAAGACAGGGGACCCGGTGGATAAGGCCCTCCACGCAGACTCGCCGCGCGCGCGTAGTGTCTAGCAACGTGTTACACCGAGACCTGCATTGCGCGAGTACATTCCAGTGTTGTTGAAAAACGCTGGGGTCCCCCCAGGAGAGGTTACAGAGCCAGGAAGAGCGACTGAGGTCTGAAGAGCCAAGGGGGTATCAGGCATCCTGGAATAGTTGCAGGGCAACAACGAAATGGGGGCGTTGGTACAATGTCGAGAGCTGCCGTTTCCTCTCCTACACGATGGTTGAATTCCTGGGGAAGAGCATCTCGGGGCATTAGGGAGGGGTGAGGAGTGAGACAGGTGCGCAAAGCCAATAGCAGGTCTGAGGCAGGTGACTGAGGTGAGCGAGGCTTGCTTCTGCATGGCTGGAGGGGGATGCAGAAAGATGCCTCTCACCCGCACCGCCCAGGCTGCAGTTCCTCCCTCGGCTCCCATCCTCCGCTGAGGTGCTCTGGGCCACCCCCAAAGTCTCCAGCAAAACCTAACCTCAAGTCACGGGACACTTCCCCAGCTGGAGATGGTAGAGCCCAACTAAGAAACTGAGTGGCATTTCAGGTAGACAGGATGTCTAAGCCTAACCCCTTGCTCACCCCAGACACTCCGATGAGCAAAGGAAGTCTGGACTTCCAGGTGAGAAGGATTAAGGGGAGGAGGAAACCCAGGAGGCTCCGGGAAGACAGCCGGGTTGGAAAGCTTAAGGGGCCTCCTATGGCTTCCCTCTTAATCCTTTTACAGTCCTAAGCCAGCTACTCTACTTCTCTTCTTTGGATCTCAGTTTCCTCTTCTGTAAAATGGGAAGAGGTAGTGGTGCCTCTTGGGAATGAGGGCCTGTGGAAGTGACAGGGTTGTCGCCAGGAAAGCAGTATGTCTGGCCACAGGGTCCTTAAGGATAGAACCAGTGTAGAGCCGCATCTGTGCCTGGAGTCTGTGCCTGGATTCTAGCAGGGTTTGGGTAGGCACAGAGCTCTGGGCTTCCGCCTGGGAAAGGCGGGCCTGTACTGAGAGTGAACGTGGGCCCGCCCAGTGGTGGTTAGTCCAAGAGGGAATTGCTTCCTGAAATAAGACAGCGTCCACGTTGCAGCTCAGGGCTGGAATTTATTTATTCAGCGACTCGGGGCTTTGTCAGATACTGTGAGCACGCACCAGCGAAAACAGCATGGAAGAGACAAGCCCCCGTGTAGAGCTGTACCTACACACAATGCCACATCAACAGAGCCACACACATGCCACCTCGCAAGCCACTTCTACTTGCCTGTGTGTGAGAGGCGGCTCCTGATGCTGTCTATCAGGACAGGCCTGGTACACTCTGACAGTGTGAGTTAAATCAGAATGCCCCCAAAGTCGACAGCAGGACTTTACCGGGAAATGCAAAGCCAACGGCCTCATTTACACCTTCAGACGTCCTCACACAGGGACAAAGAGACACGAGGGGGGGGTGTCTCAGGCTGCATCCTCGCGACTCCACAGCTGCATCAGAGAGACTGTTCACCACACAAACAGCGAGCGAGGCACATCCAGCCTGCTGGGCAGGCAGCCTTTGTGAGCCTGCCTACAAGGCAAGCTCGTGGGCGTTACTCCTCAGTATGACCCAGTCATAAAGAAAGAGGTACTCGGTGGTGAGCTGCAAATGATTGAGCTCTGGTTACGGGATTTTCAGGTAGTTCGCAAACTGTTAAACATAGACATTTGAAAAACATTAATATGTTTATGGTGAACAGAACTCCTCGTACAGGGTCTTCCCTGCCAGTTCTGCCCCACATCAGGGACCAGGGGTCCAAAAAAAAAGAACAAACCTTGAACTAGCAAGACGACTCAGTGGGTAAAGGTGCTTGCCACTAAGCCTGTCGAACTGAGTTCAGAACATGTGGTGAGCTGGGCATGGCGGCGGTGCACACCTTTAATCCCAGTACTCAGGAGGCAGAGGCAGGTGGATTGCTGAGTTCTAGGGCAGCCAGGAGAAACCCTGTCTCAGAAAGGAAGGAAGGAAGGAAGGAAGGAAGGAAGGAAGGAAGGAAGGAAGGAAGGAAGGAAAGAAGGAAGGAAGGGAGGAAGGATAAAAGAAAAACAAGAACGAAACACCATGTGGTGAGAGAGAGCTGACGACACTGGGCCATCTTCTGGCCTCCACATGGAGGCTATGGCATGTGCACGTATGCACACACATGCTATAAACGTAAAAGAAAACCCGGTTCAGAAACCCCATGTTGGTAGCCTGAGAGTCATCGCTGGAGGAATATTTACACCACAGAAGCTAGCAAATGCTACGAGTCAGGGTGTTCTCCTGGGAACTGGCTGTCAGTATGCACCATCATGTGATAACCCATGTTGGTATTCTACAACACCATGTATTGCCAGATACATATTGTGCCTCAGTATAGTATGTGAAGCTCCAAGGCCAGTGTTCAGTCCAGCCTAGGTTTTTGGTTTTTTTTTTTTTTTTTTTTTTTTTTTTTTTTTTTTTTTTGACAAGGTTTTTCTTTGTTGCTCTGGCTGTCCTGTAACTCACTCTGTAGACCAGGCTGGCTTTGAACTCACAGAGATCCGCCTGCCTCTGTCTGCTGGGATTAAAGGCGTGTGCCACCACTGCCCGGTCCAGCCCAGTCTTTACAAAGCTTCTTGGTTTCCTCTTCTATAAATGGGTTAATAGTTCTATAAAAGTGGAATGGTAAATAGGACCCACTTGCCAGGGGCCTTCTGAGAGGTGGGTGGGTGGTTTGTGTGTTTTTGAAACAAGATCTTATATAGAAGGCCTGCCTCAAACTCTGTACCTAACTGAGAATGGCCTTGAACTTCTGCTCTTCCTGCCTCCATCTCCCAAGAGCTGAGATTCTAGTTGTGAATTACCACCCTGGTGTTACACAGTGCTGGCTCTAAGCTTTGTGTATAAGTGAACACTCTCCCGACTGAACTACCTTCCCACCTCCTCCTTGTGAGAAGTCAGTGGACATTAAGGACTTAAGTGTTCCAGCACATAGTAAGCCTTTCGCTAACATCAAGCATGGAGTTTGTGTGCCTCCGAGTTCATAGACACACCCGTCTGCAGGTCATTCTGGAAACACTGAACCTCAGTGCTAAGGGAGGCTAAGGACTAACAGAGGACAGCTCATAGGATGTAGTCCAGGTCCTGGCAAGGGGAGGCTGGGAGCTGGAACCAAGCAAGGGACATACAGGACATAGTTAGTTTGTGTTCCTCAGAGGACTAATCTGAAGATAGCCAGGGCTGGCTTCTAGGATGCAGGTGCCAGGAAGGAGAAGGCTAAAATGGGCTGAAGGTGTGTTTAGGACCTGGCAGACAGGTTTTCAACTCCAAGCTTCCTTCTTTCTCTGCTCCTGCTTTCTACTCTGTTTGATCTTTAAAAAATATTTATTTTTTATTCTATGTGTTTGGAAATTTTTCCGGCATGCATGTTTATCTGGGCACCGCGTGCCTGCAGTGCCCATGGAGACCAGAAGAGGGTGGCGAGTTGTGAGCCACCCTGTGAGTGCTGGGAACTGAGTCCTCTTAAAGAGCAGCAAGGGCTTCAGCGACTGAGCCACCTCTCCAGCCCGTCTCGTTCCGTCTTGTGTTTCTGTACTCAGAGAGCGGCTAAAATGACTCAACAGTTTTATCCACTGGATCCTTACTATATACCAGGAATTCTAATTATTTTATACCATTAGATAAACAGATATGCATGACAGAAAAATTACTCTGAATTACAGAAAAGTAACAGAAAGGAGCTGTGTGTCCTGTAGATCTAAGGCAGTGTGGATGGATCTCAGAAACAGTAAGCTAGCAAAGCAAAAAAGATGCTTATGCTACACTTTTGGGCAGGGGGTTGAGACAGGGTTTCTCTGTGTGACAGTCCTGGCTCTCCTGGAACTTGCTTTATAGACCAGGCTGGCCTCAAACTCACTGAGATCCGCCTGCCTCTGTCCTCCGCCCCAAGTGCTGGGATTAAAGGTGTATGTTACCACTGCCCAGCTTGTTTATGCCACACTTCTTATATAAAATACTTAAGATGGCCAGGCATGGTGGCACAAGCCTTTAGTCTCAGCATCTGTGAACTTGATGCAGGAGAAGCCAACTTGAGCTACATATTGAGCTGTTATAAAACATCCTTAAGAATACAAAGTCTAGGGCTGGAGAGATGGCTCAGTGGTTAAGAGCATTGCCTGCTCTTCCAAAGGTCCTGAGTTCAATTCCCGGCAACCACATGGTGGCTCACAACCATCTGGA